GGGGTGAACGGACGTTTTTCGCTGTTTCCATCCCCGCGAGTGCGAAACGTAAACAGTGCTAAAACAATTTTTATACTTAGTTATGAAAAATATATTCTAGTATCTGACATAAATTGAATAACTTTAATCAAATAGTGTGTACTAAAGAAAATAAAGTGATAACGATTATTAAGTGATGGCCTTCGGCAGCCATTGCCGAAGCCATAGTGACCGATCGCAACATGGATCAATATAATGAAGCCTTCCGCCAAAATCAACAAATAATGTTCCAGCAAAACAGTTAAATGCGAACAGCAAAAACATAATACAACGTCAGCATCAGCAATACAACTACTGAACAAAAATTTATCGCAAAACCAGCATTTACAACGATTGCCAGCCAATGGAGCATCAACACCTGTAAGTCAACTCTTTCAAACTATACAAGTGAAATCCTCACATTAAATTACTGCAAAGTGGTGTCACTAATTCTAAGATAAGAACAAACTCTGCAAGAAAGTTACGTATAGAAATACAAAACGTAAAAATTATAGATGATCAGGAACAGACGAGTCCGCGCGAGGGAAGATAATTCTTCTTTCAATGTCGTTTGATTACGAACATATTTTGAACTGCTAAGTTAAGACAAGAAAAATGTTGAAGTAGCAACCATCACAACCAAACAGATCTAATAACGCCAACAAAAAACCATCCGCCTATATTCATTCCAGAGTAGAAGCATATATAACTGGAATGAAACATAATTCAACGAAGTTCTTTAAAACAGAAGATTACCAGACTTACAAAATTGCTTAATAATCAGCAATGTAAAACATAATGCCGGCAACAATCCGATGCATTTTCGCACGTCAGGTCAAGCACTTGAAAAAAACAAAAGAATTATTATTGGTTTTCATACATATCAGATGAAAAGAAATCGGAGCATTCAGAGTAGTTATTGAAATATATTCAAATCCGTTCAACAGATGTTGCCAATGCTACAAGAAGAAAAGAAATCTTGATCACAAAGTTCGTCAAATTTATAATACTGCTAAACATCAAGTTACTAAGGCACCATTATCCTATTTTTTGTTGACTCTAGAAACAGCCAACAACAGATAAAGTATTTATGAAATAATGCGTCTTAACAACTGTATATGTTTCGTTCGAACCTGTTCGCCAAGAAAGAAGGAAATAGTACAATGTAAAAACTGCCTGACCCTATGGTCACCTAAACAGTTTATTGGCAACGAAACAAAAGCGCTGCATGCGGTGCGGAGAAGGACACGGCATTGAAGATTGTGTAAAAGCAAAAGCAAATAGCATGCCAATGTGCGCACGATTGCGAGAAAGAAAGACACCGTCCCACATATAAAGGATGTATCATATTATCAAACTCTTATAAAAAGAAGAGATTCCCTGAACCACAAAAAATTGTAATCAAAAAATCCAAATGTCGTTCCATCAGAAAAAGACTTTCCGCAAACTTTCCCTCAGAAAACACAGTGCAACCTTCTACTAGTAATCAACCATCTTACGCGCGAACTCTTTTCCAAACAAACAGGGCCGCCTGCGGAAAGTGACTTGAAAAAATTGTACAAGAATCGTTTCGCAATTTGAAAATCTCCTT